ATATGTTTAATTGAGATATGTAAGTAAAATTTGAGTAATACGATAGCATCTATTAGGGATTTCTTCATTGCATTACCAATTATTTTCAACTTAACACATTTACGAACATCCATCATAATTGTTATCATTTCCATCATCACATTCTTCATTTTATTGCCTTATTGTATCTCCACATCTAAATTATGATTCAGAAATTTTATCTCTTTCTTCATCTTCTACCTACTCTGATTTGATAAGTAAACATTATTTATTATCATTTGTTTCATACCCATTTTAACATTCAAAACAATTTCCCTTATCACATTAATCACATTTGTCATGACATTAAAATTAACATTAGTAACACCCATCGAATGGAATCTAATTTTTATCATCACATTCTTCTAAGCCAGGAACTGTATATCCATCCCCACAAACAGGTAAACATTTACCTTTTATTTCTTCAAAATAATCCTAACACTGAGAACAAATGTCTTTAGTAGCACATAACAAGCAATTTTAATCACATTCTAATCTGCATTCATAACATCCATCTAAAGGCTCATAGTTACCATCATCACATTATTCCAATAATATAGCAATTTGATTATCTCCACACTTATAATAACATCGATTATCAACAAGTTACCATCCATTTTGGCATGAATAACACTTAGCTTTTATACAGTTTTAGCATTCTAGCTAGCAACTTTCTTAACATTTGTAACAACCATCAAATTGTATGTTATTTTTATCATCACAAAATTCATGCAATATTGTGATCCCATCATTACATTAAGGGATGCATGCTTATTTGTTAAAACTTAATTGATAGAGGAGTTAACATCTCAAGCATTAATCAAATAATTATTAATCACAGTTTTAAATTTTCATGTTGCTTTAATTTTGGAGTCTGAATATTCCTAGTTGTTCTAGATTGCAATTCTAATAAATTATAATTGTTTATTTAAATTATTTGTAATTCAAAAAGCTATCATAATAACTTTAATCAATAAAATTGATAAAATAGTGATCAAAGTTTTTATCATCTTTAGGTTTATACTCATTCGTGTTTTTTAGATTAAAGGTGCAATCACTTTTAATCAATATTATTGATTGTTAAAATTCTAAGCATTTACCAAATTAACAATTTAAACATTCTTGAGGACATTAAAATAAACAGAGATGACATCCATCATAAGGAATTAAA